TGTTACAAAGTAGATTTTAGCATAGTATATTATATAGTAATATTAGTAGATATATTTTTTTTTTTGGTATTAAGATGAAATCTTGCTTATATATTTATTAGTAATTTTAGTTGTACATATTAATATACTATATACTAAGATATACTAAGATTATAAACTACAAAATAAAAACTATATGCAAGAATTAAAGCTCAAACAGTTTTATCTGCAACCTAAACTGACTATAGTAGTCAAGATCTATCTAGATTTGTAATGTTAAAATGTGGTTATAAAATGGACTATGATTAATTCAAAGTGTTAAGCATATATTAATTTTCTTAATAGCTTGTCTAATTGGTAGACAGATATTAGAATGTAAATGTAATTGATTTGCTATTTTACTAATTTAAGTAGTTATATATATATATTTATTATTGTATTTTATATATAGAGTGACATCAATAGAAATGTGACAAATTTATTAGATAGATTTGTCTTATTTCTATTGATGTCACCCCATATTATATTTATTATTAGTTATTAGTTAGTTGTTAGTTATATTATATAGTAGATAGATAAAGGGATCTTAATTGACTATTAGAAATATAGTACAGCTATATAACACTAAGTAACATTTGTAATATTATTATCATCTTACAAGTCTTAAGTATCTCTGTACAAGTTTCATGTATTTTAGCACCAAATTACTATGCCAAGTGCTGTAGCACAAAAATTTTAAGTATTTTCAATATAAATCTCAAGTGTTTTCACATGAACTTCAAGTATCTTTATACAAATTCCAAGTGCCTTTGCATGAATTCAAGTGCCTAAACACAAGCTCCAAGTGTTTCAAGCATGGCTCTGCACAATTTCTACTACTCCAAGTACAGTATTCTTTGATGTTGTTCAAACTTCTACTGTTCTAAGTACAATAGTACAGTATCAAGTAATATTGCTTAAATTTCTACTATTTTTGCTAGATAAAAAGATATATAAAGGATATTTTTTCTCTTTTTTTGCCAATTCTAAGTTTCTATACTTCAACTTAAACCTTTCTATCTTTATTCCTAACTTGTAAAAGTGATATTTCCTTCTAAAGTAATTTCTACAGACAAGGTTGTTACTGTATATTTATTTAATAAAATTAATCTATATACTGTTATTATCTTGAACCATTTGCCTGTTTCTGTATAATAAAGTAAACTACTATATTTCTATTCTATATATATTTGCAATAGTTAATCACTATACTAGATGACCTTGTTACTTAGTTGTATTGTATCAAGAAGGCTGCAACCTTGTAACATTTTAATGTCTTCTAGCAAAAAGCTAAAAATTATCTCAGAAAAACTAAAGTATTCCAAGAAAGAAACAGAAACCTTTTTTAAAAAAACTACCTCAGGAAACAATTCTCTCTTTAGGAAGGATTTTATTTTGAAAGCAACAATTGTAAAAAAGCATTTTTGAAATTTTGAAATTATTATTTTAGATATACCTCTATTAACTCAAATTATATTGAATTATTTTGTATTTTGTATTTTAAAATTGAAGAAGTTTATGCTTTCACTTTCTATCTTTAAATTTTTAATTTTGAAAAATCTTGATTTTAATTTTTGATTTTTGATATTACTTATTGACAAATAAAAATATTTTGAATTGTTTAAACTTTTGATTTGATTAATTAAATTTTTTACTTGCTAGTACTATTACTTTAAATTTATTTTATTGATTTTTATTATTTTATTTTATCATTTTATTACTTTTTAGTACTAACTCTTCATAAAGAAATTTATTTTATAAAAGATTTTCTTATTCAATTTTATTTAGAAAACATTTGAAAACACTAACAGGTTCATAGTGAAAAATACTCTCTTGCTACAACTATATTGCAAATTCTTGCTATTAATTCATCTTGTTTACAATATTATTCACTTTCTAATCTTTGTAAACACTTTACTAAATTTTGAACTAGGTATTCTAAAGCATACTAAGCTATTTTTTTTAGTAAAGTTACTTATTTTAACTATTTAAGATTAGCTATTGCTAAATGCTTAGTTGTTTAAGTTACTGTTAGAAACATTATTTTTAGTTGTTATTATTAGAATCAGATAACTAATCCTTAAGATATTGTATAAAATATCTTTTAAGAATATACTTCTTATTATTCAGTATCATTAATTACTCTAACCAAAGGACTCTATTTGATATTTTTATTGATAATCCAGTTAGAGCCCAACAACAGATTGAAGCTTTACAAGCTGCTGCATTAAAAACAGCACAAGGTTCTGAGAAAGAAACTAGTGCATCTATTTTGCAGCAAACATCACAAAAAACTATTATTTTTATAGAAGAATCTGTTACAACTTCTACTTTTTTCATTACTACTGTTGTTACCTCTACTCAAACTTTAATGCCTATTGTAGACTCTAGCTCTTTAGCCCCATATAATGAAGACTTAACTAATAGACATTATACCTATTACCAACCAAATAACCTAAAAAAAATAGGAACATTACCTTTTTTTTTTATTTAACTAAAAGCTTTACAAGAAAAAGAAATTACTTAAGAACTCTTTTATGCTTATACTTAACTTTTCTATATTTTTCAATTTTTAACCTTAACAACATTAAGATTAGTTACCAGATTCACTAACCTTTTAATTAAAGAAATTAACCTTCTTTTATTTTGACTTGGTATTGAATCAAGTTCAAAAGAATCTTTATCTACAACAATTAAAAATCTTATTACAATTGAGAAAAACATTTTTTTAATTTTTAACTTACCAAAAGCAACTAAAAATCCTGAAATTTTAACTACCCAACCTATTACTAAAATATTATTTAATTATTACTGACCTATCAATCTTGAAAACTTTGTCTGAAATTTAAAAACTCATACTCAAGAGGACATAACTTTAACTATTAAAGATTTTAATTTATTAATAGAACAAGATTACTCTAAAGAAACAGAATTTATAAAAGAATAACTTCTATCAGAAGAAGAAGAATCAGAAAGCTCAAATGAAACCATTACTAACAAACTTGACTCTGAAAACAAAAGAGCCATGAACAACACTGTTGCTGCAATGAATAAACTAGTTAATACTCTTAAAGCTAAAAAAAAATTACTCTTTAAAATTCTACTATTTAAAGGTAATAGAACTAAAGATCCAGTTAATTGAATTAATAAATTTGAATGAGCTGCTATTACCAATAGATGAACTGAATCTAAGAAACTTGCAATTACTTAAGCATATATGAAGATCAATGCAGAAAATTGAACCAAAAGACTTGGAGATAACTATTTTTAGTTATATAATAGAGGAAATAATCCTTGATTTAAAACTTGATTCTTAGAGCAATTCAAAACAGTTAAGAAGAAAGCTATGTGGCAACAAGAATTCTTTAATCTTAAACAAAGAAACCAACACTGTTAATACATATATTGCTTAGTTTAAAAAGCTTTAAAGAAAGGTAGACTCTAAGAAGATCTTTTCAAATAACATTATTGTACATTTTTTATTAAAGAATTGTAATCTGAATATGCAATACTTGTACAAACATCAGTTCTTAATAACTTAGCTACTGCTATTAAAAAAGCAAAACATTGGAAACTAGAAAAAGTAATGGCTATTCCAAAAAAAGATGATATTAATGACATTACCAAACAACTAGCCCAACTATATATCAACTCAGTTATGACCTAATCTTAACCAATATTACAAGTTTAACAATCTTCACAACCTCATACAGCCTATACTGCAAAAAGAGAAAATAACTCCAGACCTAACTTTACACAAAACAAAGACCTCTAGTTATTAGTATATAGGTCAGAGAACTAGAAGTGTAGCCAACCTAATAACCTTTTCAAATGTAAGATATTGGATTGCATAAAATCTACAAAATTTTAAAAAAGGTTAGATTGTTAACATACATAATTTTGACTAAAATTCAAAATAGCTAGAGGTTGCCAATGTATATTTTTGGTGCAAATTAGAATATGAGTGTCTTAACAAAAAAGCCTGTTATCAATCATATAAAATTTATATTATTAATAACAAGTTTTTTCTGTCAATATTCATATTCTAATAAATTAGCTAATGTTAAAAGTCACATGAATTAATTAAAGGTATCCTTAAAAAGATCCAAGTTTTATATAAAGTTTAATTTGAATAATCATATATCTGAATAAAAATTAAATTAATATATAAGACAAAAAAGCAAATAGCTATTTCTTCTTAAAAATTTAATTATCTTTGTAAGCATTGTGTATAGTAGAATAATTGCATAATAAGCTAGCATTAACAATAAAGCCAAGTACAAAGCAATAGAAATATTGAGTATAAAGCAAGGCAGACTCTTACTTATTAAAAGCTGGAAATACAAGTGCCAAGTAGCAGTTTGCATTTGTAATAATAGTGTTATATTAAAGATTCAAAGACATTAATAAATAAGCAAACAAAATATAGAAACAAAAAAAAATAATAAAAATAAAAAAGATAAAAAAAGATAAAAAAATAATAAAAAAAAAAAGTAATATTCTAGATTGATCAAAACTTTGAGATAAGATATTACAAAGTACTTGCTTATATAATATTTAGCAAAGGAATTGCAAATATATTGTTAAAATTAAAGCATAATCGAGAATTGTAAACATAGTTAAGATGTACAAATAAAAGAACATTAGAACATTATTACAGTACATTATCAGACTAATATCAGATATTAAAAAAAAAAAAATCAAAAAAGAAAAAAATATATAAATAAAAATATAGTAAAAAATGATTGCTAAAGTATAAGGTTTGTGCTCACATTGTTTAATCCAAAAAAGGTTGTATATATATGTAAAAAAAATTTAAGCTGCACCAAAAATAAGAAAAAGATTATCTAAATAGACATGTTAAAAGTTCTGATTATAAAGCTAAAGAAAGCCAAAGATCAATTTATAATTTTTTTAAATCTGATATAGTTGTAAGTTCAGATAGTAAAGAAGATAAATAGAATTTAAACATTTATAACAATATGAATAATAATGTTTTGTTACAAGTAGATGAAGCAGAAGAAGTTGAAATGAATAACAATATATTAGCATTAGCAATTTCTAAACTATTAAGTGATAAAATACAATTCAAAAAAAGTTCAGTATGCCAAGATCTTCAATCTGAGCAAATTTTAAATTACATTAAATGTACTCTAGCACAGTTTGGTGGTTTATGTTGTATAAAAGTTGTTGCATGTAAAATGTTTCCAAAATTATTCTTTCAAAAGTTCAATAGAAAAAAGCTAAATTATAATCAAAAGCAAAAGTTAAATTGTGCTTTATATGCAGAGTCTACTTGGCAAATAGATCAAAATAGTAAGTTATGCAGATTATTACTGTTTATTATTATTAATATTTAATATCTATTTTTGTACATCTAATTCAAACAAAATAGCAATCAAAATTGAGCAGAACTTTTTGCAAAAAGTTCTTCCCAATTTTAATTACTATTTTGTTTGAATTAGATGCACAAAAATAGATATTATATTAATTTAAAAAAGTATAATTATTAATTTCTAAATAGTTTTAAAAATACATGTAATGCTATATATACTAAGATATATTCAGAATTTGCAGAAAAAGGTAATATATGTAATGAATGCTATTATATTTGATCTTTTTTTTTATTTATTTATTTATTAAAGCCGATGTTATCAGTAACTATCACCTTTATTTATGTTTTTGGTCAATGCATTACATATAACTTGTACAAAGTAAGTGTACAACTAGCCATATGTATAACTTTTGGTTACCTATTTAAGTAGTCCACCCAAGGGTTTTACACTAGCTGCTATGCCTGTAACCTACTAGAAGGATATCTATTTAAATACTCTGATTCTTATACTACACTCAGACAAGTAACATCTGGTTCTTGTACAACTAAGTGCCATCTAACCCAACATTTAGCTTTCCCTTTTGTACATCTGTCAAGCCATTAAGCATTTCAGAATATGTTACCTAACTGTAAGGTTCTAGAATACCTCTTTGTTAACTACCTACCTATTCTATAGAACATTAACAAGGCTAGATCTTGTAAAGTTCACCCAAACCCTAGCACCTACTTCATAGCATATCCTTAGTACTTATAGTATACTCTTGCTTTGATTTCAGACTTCCAATTCAAATAGCTCAGTAGGACTGTGACCTGTTCTTGGTATATCAAGCTGGCCCGACATCCTTTTCCTCTGGTTCAGTTCCAGTAGCCTGGTTGGTGATACCCTTTATCTGAGGTTCTTGCCTGTTCAGCTCCTTCACATTGGTATCTGTTTTCTAGGTCTAGCCTTTACAGTGGTACTGTCAAAGATCTGTGTTATCTTTATGCTCGAGTCTTTCCAAGTGGGCTCCAGTTTTCCAGTTCTACAGATTTATATGACCACAAGAACTTACAGTATTTTAGGTTTGCACTGCCTGGTACTGGTTTGCATTCCTCTGTGTAACTAAGGTTACACAGATGCCCTGTGATCTGCCAGTTATGCTGGTGCAACTATAGTTACAGGTATCCTATCCCAACTGATCAACAAAAAGCTATCACTATAATACCATCTATATATTATATAGATAATTATTCAAATTTTTGCCATCGATGGGTTTTGAACTCACAACCTACTACTTGGGAGTTGACAACTTATTCACTTTACTAAGTCACCACACCCCTATATTTGATTTGATAAAAACCTTTGCAATAGAATTTTAATAAAAACTTTATTGTCAAAAAACATTAAATTTACTTCTAAATTTTATTAAAAAAATAACTTTTTGAAAAGTCATCTTTAAAATCTTGACTTTTATGAAATATGAAATTTACTTAACAATAAAATAAAAATTAAACATTAAATTCTTGGATTATATTAGCTAATAAGGCTATAAATAAAGCTTTTAAAGATTCATCTGTCTTTTTAGGACTTTGCAAAATGATAAGTAATGTTGCTGAAAGAAAAGCTAATAATAAAAGCAAATAAAATATGAAGTATAATGAAGAGTTTACAAATTTTTTAGTTATTTTAGAAAGTATTAGTCCAAGAGTCCTAGACTTATTTTATCAAAAATTTAGAAGAAAAAAGAATTCAATCATTTAGATATTGTTAAGTTTACTATATTCTTATACTAACTCTATAATAATTTTTTAAAATAAGTTTGTTATAAAGTAGGTTCGATATTCTAGAGTAGAGTGTTCAGATTTATGTGATTTTAAAGATTTTTATTGTTTAAACAATGAAAAATCTCTGAATTGCATAAGCTTGAACACTAATCTAGAGTCAATTGTATTTATTTTAATTTATTTGTTATTTTATTAATAATTATTTTTTAATATTAAAAAATTGCATTATAATAATAAGGATTATTTAACTAATTCAGATTTTTGTTTTGAAAATGTTGCTTGTTTTAAACAATTAATTAACATCATTTAATACAATAGCCCAATTGCTGTAAGGACTGATAATACCAAGCTAAAACTATAACTAAAATATAACTTTGTACTTGGATGCATTACTGATCAGTTCTTTCAAAAAAAAGACATACATAAACATTTACTTAGAATTTTAAAAGTAATTGCAAAAATTAAATTATCAAATAGAATTGCTAAATCTGTTTGTGTATATATTTTACAGGTATTATACATGAGTCTTTGTCTTAAAAATAACTTATACAACATAGTAGTTACCATGTTCTATAAGATATTTTCAAGACAAAAAACTACATACTATTGTATATATTAATAATTGCAGATTAGAGTGAAATTTATTCTATTTTAATATGAAAATTTGAAGTGTATTTCTTAATTTTTTTTTTAGACTTATGTTAGAGTTAAATTATTTAGAAAAGAGTATAAGTAGATTTAATAGAGTTTATATTTTTAAAGTAACCTTAAATTTTACTATAATCTATAATAATGATTATTAAATAAATACTAATTTAATAATTTATAATTTAAAGATACCTTTACTAAAGTTTCTGTTAGTTGCTATTGCTTTTATTCTAAATAAAAGATCTGATACTGTTGAAATTATTGAAAAGCTACATACAAAATTAATTAAGAAAATGGCATCACAACTACAACTTTATATTTTGTCATTAGGATCAGATAGTGCAATTACAAAGTTTTAGGCACAATAATCAATTTTTAATACTCAGATTTTAGAAAACTTAACAATATATGTGTTTGATTTGAATATTAACTTTTTATATCCTATTTTGGATAGAGTTGGTTTTATAATTTATGTACAAGATCCAAAGCATGCAAAAAAAACTGCACAAAATGCTATTATGTTAGAAGCATATCTATTAACATTTGAGAAATTATCTATATAATTTCAATATTTTTTAAATCTTATAAATAAACATGATTCAATAATGTATAAAAATAATGTTATTAAGCTAGATCAGCAGGATGATGGTACAGCATATTGAACATTTTGCTCATCAAATTTTAGACAATCTTCTGAAAAAGATTATAAAGTTGAATTGAATATAGAAGAATTTATATATATTTGTTTATAATAGATTAATTTAAATTTCATATATAATAAAATATATGAAATTTTTGCTTTAAAAATAACCTTATAGAATATAGTAATTACTATGTTCTATATAGTTATTTACAAGACAAAGATCTTATATATTATTGTTATAGAATATATATTAATTTATATTATATTGTAGAAGAATTAATAAATAGCTATCTTAATTATAATATTGCTTCTATTGAATATATTTGTATGATAATAACTGCTTATTTTATTCTTAATTTGTAGAAATTTTATATTAAAACTTTACAAATAAGTATCCAAATTTTGTATCAATATAAACAAATTTTTTAGCATAACAAAGTTTTGTTATATTTACATTACTTGCAAAATTAATAGTATTGTTAGTAAAAGCATATTGTAAATTTTATCTGCAAATTCCATTCTTATCTTGGTTTCATAGTTCTGAACTCTGTAAACATTTTTTTGGTATTGCTTATCAAATTAATACTAATTTTGACTTTGCTGAATTGATACAAATAATTCTAAAGATTGGTCAATATAATAAGACTTTACAGAATCAAAAATTAAACTATAATAAAGAAAAAATTTGTTAGACAAAATAATTTGACTTTAACAGATGTACTATAGAAAGTGCAAACATGACTATATACAGTTAGAGATAGAAATTAATTCTTAAAATTTTTAAAAACTTATAGAAAATTGATTTTTCAGAATCAAGTTTCTATAAGCTTTAAAAAATTTCATGAATAACTCCTATTCCTATATACAATATGTATATATTTCTTTTTTTATTTTTTATGTTATATTATTAATATACAGTACTTTTTATAATCACCTTGTTAAGGTTAAATAATTTCTATAATTTTAATTAAATACTATATACTATATTATATCTACTTATTTTATAGTTAAAAATATATGTTATTTTAATAGGTTATTATAATAAAAGGCAATTAAATAACTTAGATTTAAAAAAATTAAAATTATAGCCTACAGACAAGCAAATTATACAAACTATTCATTATTTATATCATTTAGTATATAAATTTTCAGAATTTCTTAGTATGATTCAACCTGCAGATTTGTCTATTAATAGAAATAATTTACTTATTATTAGCTCATATGAAGATAAAAGCTTGACTTTATCTAGTTATAATAATACAAATTCAACTAATATTCAAAAAATTGATGATATTTCTTTTGCAATAAGCAATGCATCAAAAGAAGTAGAACAAATTAGCAAAATTTGTTCAATAATAATAAAGATTTTTTAGCAAATGATATATTTCAAAATGGTCAAAGACATTTTAAAAGTAATAATCAATTTTTAAATCCTTGTTTATTATCAATTTTAAATAATAGAGATAGTGATAAGTATTTATACTATATTTATCTTTACTTATTTGATTATTTTAAAATATTTTGAGTTTTAAATATAGCATATATATTATAGTTTTTTACTATATATATTTTTTTTATAAATAACAGCCCAGGGTATAATTTCAAATTATGGTTTGAATTAAGCTTAATTCAGGCTGTAATTTGAAATTACACTTTTGGCTATTATTTTATAAAAATATAGTAATTCAAAAATCATTTAAACTAATTTAATTGTAATTTAGTATTACAATTATTAGTTAATTTAGATTATCAATACTTTTAAGAAAATGTTTTTGACTTTGAGTTTTTACTTAAGCAATGTAAATTGCATAATGCATATTGTTCTAAACTACTTGAATGAAAGTTTAAATTAAAGGCATTAGGCTCTACTAGAATTAATATAACAAACTTTATTTATCCAAATAAGGCTAGTCATTTGGTTGTATATTTTATCAAAAATAAAAATCCTAAACAATAATTTGTTAAACAAAGAGAAAAATAGTAAAAAAAAAGTCATAAAAATATATTATTAATACTTGCATAATTAAATTTAGAAGCAACTGAAAAGTCTAAAAAAAAAAATTTCAAACAAAAGGAACATTAAATCAAAATTAATTTCAAGTAAGTTTTTTATTTTTTATTTAAATTATGTTAAAATTGCAGATTGCTATATTGCAAGTTAATATGGTTAACCAATTAGATCACAAGATCTTGTATAACAAAAATGAATAAAAAAACTCAAAAATTTTAATGCACAAATATACTCTCTAACTTTAACATTTTTATAAACTAATTAATATAAATTCAGTTTAATAAATTAAAATTTTAAATATATTAATTTTAATAAAAGTTCTTATTTAAATTTATAAGTTCAGAAATATGTAATTTTAAAATTTTATAATTTGTTTAAATTTTAGAATTATAAAATTTTAATTTATATATTTTTGAAATTTTAAACTTAGAGCTCTATTAAGATTTAATTACTAAATTTTTGATTATAAATAATTGTTTAATAGTTTCTAATATTCAAACTGCAAATATATCAGATGATTTTTTACTAATGAAAGATGGGTATGTTTTTGGTTTATATAGTAAAACTTTGTGTATTAAAAGAGTTATAGCATTATATTTTGAAGACTATAGTAATTATTGTTATACAGATGAACCTGTTACAGATTTGAATAATATTTCTTATATTTCATTATATATTTATTTACCTATTTACCTTAATTTGTTTAGTAATATTTTAAAAGAAGGTTGTAATCTTTTAATACATTATTTAGCTTCTAATATTATTATTATATTGATAAATTAGAAATATTAATTGATAAAAATACTTTAAAATTATTAGAAAATGAAAAAAAATACTTTAATTATTTTAGTCAAAATAATGTTATTTAAAAAATAATTTTTTAATAAAAAATTATTTTAGTAGAAGTTTTATAATATATATAATTTAAGTATTTAAAAATTTGTAATTAAAATTTGATATTTTTTTTTTATTATTATATAATATCAAGTAGAAAAATAAAAATACATAGATATATCAATTGGATATTAATGTATAACTAATTATTATTCCTAAACTACACTATTGTTGCTATATATTAATGACATCTAGTGTGATATT